TTGGATGACATTCAGGACATCAAGACTAATAAAACAGCTCTGATGGCCATTCCAGAAAAAGGACTCCAAAATTGCTTTGAAGGGTGGACTAGGCGCTAGTGTCAGTGCATAGCTTCCTGAGGAGAGCACTTCGAAGGTGACCATAGTGATATTCAGCAATGAAGTATGTAGCACTTTTTTTAGGATGACTTTGCTAACTTAATTGTCTCATCTCATATTTTGTTTTTGATGGTGGTTACACAACCTGTATGCATTTGTCAACACTCATAGAATTGCACACTAAAAAGTGTGGAATTGGGCCAGCCAAGTGGCGCATTGGTTAAGAGTTGGCTTGGGACTCCAGCTCTGAGCAGCAGGGCCCCGGTTCGGATCCCATATCAGGGCTAGTGACGCTGCGCCCTCTACAGCTAAGATGGTGAACAACAGCTTGACCTGGAGCTGGGTTGCTGTGAGTCACTGGCAACAGCATAGGCTGCAGTGGGGCTGCAGTGGGCTTCCGTAAGCTGGCGTGAGTGGCTGGCAGCCAGCGTGAGCTGCCAAGAGCCACCGTGAGTGGCCGTCTAGTGGCCAGCAACCGATCTGCCTCACCTGGGAAGAGCACAATGATAATACCAACATGGGCCAGTGAAGCGATGTCCTCCACAGCTAGACTGAAGAACAAAAGGACAGCAACTTGTCTGTTCCCCTTCCCTGATTCCCCAGCACCGTTCTCCTCCCTTAATTCCCCAATAAAATCTTTTTTTAAAAAAAGTGTGGAATTTACTGTATGTAAGTGTTATCTCAATACACCTATTTTAAAAATTGATACCATTTATCAGAACATCAAAAACAACCAATACCTAGGAGTAAATCTAACAGAAAAGGTACAATAGCTTACTGAGATAGAGAAAAGCTGAATAAATATATGCATGTACCATAATTAGTGTTTGGAAGTCACAATAATATAAAAATGTCAATTTCTCCAACAGGTCTTTAGAGTCAACATAGTCACAATGAAAATCCCGAAAGATTATGTGTATGCATGTTAAAAAAAAAATACAGTGAGGAGCTCTGCTCAAAGCATAAATAGTGGTAGACATGCCGTCAAAGGTATTCTGAATTACCTAGAGCAGTGAGTCAGTGAGAACTGTCAAATCTGCCAAAAATCAACAATTGTCACCTAATTAAGAAAAATAAGAATCATGGAGAGGAGAGCAAAACCAAGGAAAAATCAACATAATTACACTACCGATAGATGGACAACAAAATGGTACTTACATGTATGGGATGAACTACGACCTGAACAACCATTATCTCCATAACCATCAAAGCCACCTTACAAGTTGATAAGGAAGCTGATATTACTTCCATTGTGTGAATAAGAAAGCCACTGCTTTTTAAGATGATAGGTGTCTTTCCCAAGTTCACAAATGCAGTGACTGACAGATTTTTTTATTCATATCTTCTGCTCCCAGTTTGCTCCTCAGGAAAGGTCTGATTGGCGAACCAAAATTGCTAAGATTTATAACACTTTGCAGTCAGACTTAGTGGAGCATGTGGGCCTGAAGACTGTCAATTCCAGGGACTTTGATACCTGCAAATGGGAACCAAGAAACCAGCACCATATATCTGATGCCATACAATGTGGGACAACGGGTGTCCTTGTAGCAAAATGTAGAAAAAAAAACACCTAAATGCTGAATTAGAAATTATTGAAGGAATAAAATTTGAGATTATGGTTTTTCATACATTACTAATTTATCCAAAGAAATGCAAATCACTTGATGTTCATATTCTACATAAAAAGAAAATCGTGTACCTTACAGCATCTGAGCACCATGAACAGCCATACAACTGTCTGATTTCAGAAGTCTACATAGGCCCAACGCAGCTGGTTTTACAGTTAGGCCATCTGTTTTTTGCTGGGCCTTGGTAGGAGATAACTGCTGCTTCTGACAGCTTGGTCCACAGGTTAAAGCCTGCTTCTTTGGTGACAGGACTGTGTATGCAAGTGACATCAAGCAAACAGGAGATGCTGGCCTTAACCAAAGATAAACTGGAAAGTTTCCAACTGCTCAGACATTAGGAAAAACAACCTCTGTAAAGCCACAAAGGAGTCTTGGTGGTACCACAAGCTGTGGAGGTATTCTCAGCCAGACATCTGGCAACCTGACGCCAGCCAGCAGGCCTGTAAGAGGCAGGGGTAACCTCAGGGTACAGCCTTACTGCAATTTGATGTACATTTCAGTTAGAACACACTATGTTCTTGTGAGTAGCAGTGACCTTGGCTGATAGCAGGTTGCCAAGGCCCAGTAAGAGGCAGCTAAGGCAAGGATTCAATTATAGAAAAGACACTCTTTCCATGTACATAAACCCTTTTCGATATTAGGAGGTAAAATTTTTTAATGGTAAGTCAATGCTGATGCTTTTATGCTACAGAACTTGGTTGTGAGAATAACTTTTCAGTAGGCCTTACCCAGATAGGTAGTGGTAGGTCCATTGTCTTAACATCATCCTGAATTTAAGGCACGAAACAAACCAATCAGTCAACTTAACTTGGATTCTTGGGGCTCAAAGATCACCTCTATCACATGTCCCACTTTGACTCTGGATGATTTCATTCATAAGAGAATGAAATCATAACATTCATAACATTCATAACACCTGCACAAGAGGTTGGTTTCTTAATCATAATCAATTCTAAAGCAAGAAGCAATGGAAACAGCTCCTGTGCACAGAACTGAAGGGGCCCACTCACAGGAGAATATTGATAATAGGCTGTGAGGTTGTGCCTACATTCAATTCAGTCCCTAGGGGCTGGGTAACATCAAAGGTCAGGAAGCTTAAAGATAGATGGAAACTAAAGAGACAGGACAACTAAATGCAGCATGTGATTGTATTGTAGATTGGATCCAACCTAGACCATGAAAAAATTGGTTTGCTATAAAGGACATTGGCGATGATAAAGGGTTATTGAAGAAATTTGAATTAGGTCTGTATGATAATACCATAGCAATGATCACTTCCTGATACTGAGAATTGCACTGTGACTGGTAATAGAATGTCCTTGTTTCCAGGAAATATACACAGAAGTATTTAGAAGTAAAGTGTTCATGTGTGAATAGGTAGGTGGATGGATGGATGGATGGATGGATGGATGGATGGATGGATGGATGGATGGATGGAAGGATGGATGGATGGATGGATGGATGGATGGATGGATGGATGGAAGGATGGATGGATGGATGGATGGATGGATAGAGTTAAAGAATACAGAGCTGGACAGTAAAGAAGTAAAACAGATTTTATTCAAGAATAGGTCTTGAATAGGGGAAAAGAGACCCACTATAGAACTGGGCTTAATTCTGAATACAACAAGGTATAGTGGGGATTTATAGCCAAGGATCATGTTAGGGGAGGTCAGTGCATAGAAAATTATTAAGAGGAGACATCAGGGGTAGGGGGAATTCTTGCTAAGCTGACCTTAACAGGAGTTCTTGCTAAAGGCAGGCCAAGCTTTTATACATCAAATATAAGGAATAAGCGATTTGATCAGATATGGAGGGTAGTCAGATATCAAGGGTGAGAGGATTCTCTCTAGACTTAGGAGTATTTTTGCTAAAACTGGGCAATACAGGCTCAGTGAGGATGGACACAGAAGCCCAAAGTCAAGTCCTAGTTGAGAAAAGGGCTCAGAGGAGCCTAATTGAAGTTTAATCAAGGAGTCTATCTTTGTCAATAGATGAATGGATGGATAATAGATAGGTAGGTAGGTAGATAGATAGATAGATAGATAGACCGACGAATATAGACACAAATTTTTAACAACTGGCTCTTTTTGGTGGGGGGGGAATCCCTGATCTGTAGCATTTGTTGGTTTCCTTAGGGAAAATACTCTCACTACAGTTGGTTTCAAGCTCCCAAGGTGGGGTCACTGGGTGCAGTAATGAAAAGAAATGCTCACAATTGACTTAACTATTAAGAGCAGGCTCAGCACACCACTGTATAACTGTCTGTACTACCTTCGCAAATCTTCTGTAAGTCTGAAATTATTTCAAAATAAAAAGCTAAATTTTTAACATAAATATAAATTACCTATACATCAGTGTATTATAAAATTAATTTTTCTAGAGACTGGGTAAAGAAAATTTTTAAACCTTAGGTCTCTCTTTTTTCTAAAGTAATGATAGACTACAATATAGCCACAACATCTAAGTGAAACAATAATTTCTCATACTAACAGACAACAAACAAGCAGTCAAGGTCTATCACAGAGAAATACTGATAGAGGACACATTATTTATCATGCAATCAATGAAGTTATATTTCTGATAAAGCTTCAGTCATGCATTTAATCCACAGTGGTACTCTTTTGAGCTATAGAAAAAGCCCCCCCCCCTTGCTGGGATCACACCCCCCCACCATCCCTACCTCATCCGGGCCAGCATCACATTTGTATATCAAAGAGCCAAGGCATGAGGAAAGAAATAATTCGGTACAATTTACTATTAATAACTCTCCAAAGCTACATCTAATGGTGGGTCAGCTCTGTCTTCAGCTTCTTCAGGTACAATATGCTTTTCTGTCCACAGAAAGATATGGAAAATGAATGGCTATTATGTCATTGTTGGAACTCAACTTTTTGCTCTCTAAATTCTGCGCCTTGTTATTAAGTTTCTTCTCCTGAGATACTCATAGAGACTAAAAGCTCACTAAGCTTAAGTTGTCACAGTGATGCCTCAAGAGGTAATTAATAAAACATGGAAGGCAAAATTCTGTGAACCTGGCATCACAAACCAGACTTTGAATTTCAGACAACCAACTAAAATGCATGGACTTCTTAGGCATAGGAAACATTATAAACTTCTAATATTCCAAACTATGCCTTTGGCGAGGTTAAAGGTTAACTCTCCAAGCGCTTGTCAAGTTTAAGATGCTTTATAAAAAACAATAAATCTTTAAATCCAAAATCGAATTTATTAGCAACTCATACAGGCATATGAGTCCTACCATAGTGACTGCAGAATTATAACGTAATAGCTGAAACCAGAATAGACTGAACATTTTAGATGAACACAGATTTAACAATTCTTTTATTTAAATTAATGAACTTCAAAACTATCACGCGGTTGTTTTACACTTGATCCGGTCTGCATGTTGTAGTTCATCTAGAACATTTCTGATGTTCTCAACACAAACTTCTCCGCTGTGATGTTTTTCTGATGCAAGTTTCCACACGTTTTCAAATTCTTCCTCAGAAAGCTTGACACCAATGCTACATAATATCTCTGCAATCTAAAAAATATATATATATTTAAAGTCAGACCAAGATTTATATGTTTATAAATTTATGTTTTTAAAATATGTTTGGGACATCTAAGACTATGGATATTTATTCCAAAACAGGTGTGTATCTGAGGGAGGGCTGTGTGTGTGTGTGTGTGTGTGTGTGTGTGTGTGTGTGTGCGCGCGCACGCGCGCGCACACTCACATGCATGCACACTTCTTTCATATAATGAGCAAATATCAAAACCCCAGTACTTTCATTTCAGGAATACCGTATTTGCCGGTGTATAAGACGACTGGGCGTATAAGACGACCCCCTAACATTTCCACTCAAAATACAGAGTTTGTTATATACTCGCCGTATAAGACTACCCCCTCTTCCGACCATACACCAAGTATGGTATCGCGATTCGCGATTTTGCGCTATCATACTGGGTGTATGGTCGGCTGTGTGCGATTTTGCGAGTGTGGTAAAATCGCATAACAGCAAAATCGCATAACAGCCGAGCATACACCCAGCAGCGCTGCTGATGCCTGAACGGTATGTGGAATGAAGTGGGCGGGCATCGGGAGGCCACTATGGCACGGGGCAAGCACTATGGGCAGTCTATCTGAAGTGTACCTGGCGTATAAGACGACCCCCCACTTGGAGGCATATTTTTCAGGGCCAAAAAATCGTCTTATACGCCGGCAAATACGGTAACTTTGTTGATAAGAATATGAGGGTGTTCAACTATACTAGCCAATATATAAAATCACTTTCAACTCTAAGTGTTTCTGGTTATTTTAAAGAGAGGCAACCAAATTCAAGCAGAAAGAGTTAAAGATAGAATACTTGCTGCATTTGAGTTCCATCTCAGTTACTTCTTATTTCTATGACCTATGTACGTCACGTAAACCCCTTCCACATTAGTTTCTCTTCTTTAAAATAGGGACACTTATAAAATGTTTCTATTTATAAAATGTTGTAAACTTTAACTACAGCTATAGGTGTGTGTGCACAACCAACCAAGCAGGCTAAAATCTGAGCATACTGAAAACCAGCAAACCTTGGTTATTAATAACTTCTCTGCAGTGATAATTATTAAAAGAGGTGAGGGGAGAGGAGAAATATGCTTCTCATGTCCCAGGGAAAGTATAAGAAAGGAAAGATCAGGACTAGTAGTGAATGAATAGAGGGAATAAAAGATTTGGGGGTGGGGGGGAAGAGGGAAATGAAACTAAATCTAAAAGAGGAAAAACATTTCCTATGAAGCATATAGAAAAAGAGGAAATGAAAGAAAGATTAGACAATAAATATAAAAGCCAAAGAAATAGAATAGTTGTGGAATACATCTATTAAACAGAATCTTAAGAACAATTAAAAGATCGCCTAGAAATGATGTGCCCTTGTGGGAATGTAGCATAATCAAATACACTTGAAATTCAAAAGAACAGCGCTGCCAGCAGCTGTGGCTATACAGCAAAACCACGTAACGTCCCTATGCATAGCTGCTAATTCCCCCACTCAGTGGCAGGTAAAGAGTGTCCCTGTGCAGTGGACTCATGAAGTGGTCCGAGTCACTCTTGGGCACCCCAGAGCTGCTGCTCCTCTGCTTCCTTTCCCACTCCCCAGGAGGCACTGCTCCCCTAGTTCAGCATTCCATCATCAGCATTCCATATATTAGCTAATATAATACTTTTACAGAAACCCACATCTATTCTCAAGTTAGCATTATTACTCCAACCAGGCCTTTGGGTTCTTCCTTTTTATCTAGAATTGTGAAATAAAAGATGACTTCCTAGTAAAAGAATTTTAGGCATCATGAAACAAGCAGGAGATTTCGGGGTTTTTTTTCTGGCAGGGGGGCAACCCTGAATTTCTATTTCACAGGCCCTTGGGGGTGATTGAGGGAAGTGAAAATGCTATCTGGAAGTGTCTCTTCTATGACCCCCTATGGGGAATCCTGGGTTCCTTCATTGGGACCAGCCAGCAGGCATCATCCTCTGAGTTTCTTTCTTCCCCTCTCCACCACCTCAGCAGAATGAACCATTGGAAGGAATTTGTCATTAATTAAACTTGTATTTCGTAAGCTTCACGCCATCAACTCTGCATCTGAAATCCCAGAAAGCATCCTATGTCTATTCATATCATTCCCAGCTCCAGATATGGAAGCTCTGAAGAAGCAGTTATTCCCTAGATCACAAATACAGATCTAGACAGACTGTTCTGACCAAGCACTGCTATTAGAACACCAGGGGCTAACTGTTACACCAGCTTTATAACCCATCTAGGAAGAAAGTCACCTGGGATATGAGAACCATGTTTTCTTAGGGGGGAAAAAAGAGCACCAAGAAACATGGCTTACACACAGTATATATAGGACAGAATATTTTAAATCACTGCTTGGTGCACATAATCTGAGCTTCACGACAGCAGGACATAAAGAGTGTGGCAGAGGGGCCCTCTTCACGCTGACTCTTTGGCTCTGGAGACCCAAGACCCTAAGGGAACTTACACAAGAAAAGGATTGATCTTTTCCACTTTTTCTCCACTCAGAATAGTGTTGAGTGTCTTAGGAAACCGTTTTTATTTTTATACAGAGATCATGGTGAATATATGACATGAAAGTAATGCTTCCTATCACATGGTAGATTCTACTTCAAGAATTGTACCAAAATGTCACAATCAAATTGAACATTGTCCTCAAGAATCCTATACTGGGGGATTCTGATGACTTTTGATGACTAATATAAAAGCTCAAGTTTTAAAATGTCTAGAATTAAGTAGTTGTTGACAAATAAACATTCCCATGTTTGTGTGTTTATGTAAGGTTGACATTTCTTTCAACCCTTTTGAAATAATACGTTGTACCTCTTGTTTTGATCTGGTCTTGAAAAAGTCTCTTTCGTACACTCCTTTCTGGCCAAAGATGGTAGGATATAGTAATGAATAGGCATTGCCCTCTTCACCATAATTAGTTCTATCACTGACGCGGCGAATTCTGGGGGCAGGAATATCAG